GTGGTGGCGGTCCGACGGTGCGCCAATGGTGGTGAAGTTCGCGGGTTGGTGGTTCGGATGGTGATAGTATGGGTTGAGGCCACAGCTATGGAGGTCGGGGGAGGAGGAAAAACATAGATAAGGAAGGAGGAAGAGAGTTTTGAGAATGAGAGGTGGAGGGAGATGGAGAACCGACGGAGAGGGAGAGAAAGATGAAGCTGAAAGTGAAGGAAAATATCAAGGAATGTGAAGAAAAGTTTGGTTCAATTTATGGGAAAAAATGAGGAAGAGTAAAAGAAGATAAAAGAAAATGAAAAGATTTTTTTTTTTTTTTTTAAAAAAAGGAAAAGAAAAGAATTGAACACTTTGTGGTATGAAGTTGAACACTTGGTGGTATGCCTTCAGCATGTCCACCACGTTTTTATTTTAAATTTTTTTTAATTTTTTATTTTATTTTATTTTATTTATTTTTTTATTTTTTTTTATACATAAGATGTTACACGTTGAAGGTGGAAAGCGAGAAAACTTGGGGAGCAAATCCATGGTTTTTGATTGGGTTTTAGTACAGAAAATATTAGGTTCCAGTATAATTTGATTACAAAAATATAGAGAAAAATATAAAAAAAATATCATAAATTTCAAAAATTAATACTGAGCAATAATATAAAGTAAAAAATGAGTTGGTATAACATTACTTGTGATTAAAAATTTGGAATTATTTGTGAGTAATATCAAAATTAACTGAAATGATTAACGGCATATACAAAGTTAACAATTGATGGTTAATACCAATTGTTCGGGGTGAGACCGTCGGACCGCCACCACCACCATCACCTATTTCCATTATCATCTAGAACTACCATTCACAAAGTGTTGTAGGTGAAGAAAGAGAAGAAGAAGGAAGATGGAGGAGAAAGAAGTAAAGTTAGAGAAGTTTATTTTGAAGTTCAAAAGTTGGTTTTCGGCTTACTTTCGGCATGCCAAAACCATCCATTCTGGGAAGAAGTGAGACAAATAGGCCATGTAAGATGAAGTACGAAGTAAGTTGAAGAGATTGGCGAAAGAATGAAGTAAAACCGTTAAGAATTAAGAAAGTTATGGGGTCCGAAAGATGGTTCGAAGAAATGTCCGAGACGGTAGGAAAATAATCTTATTTTTTGTCAAATTTTGGAGCTCCGACGGCATGCAAAAAGAGACGGAACAAGGCGTGTGAGAAGTGAACCAAAAACTAGGTCGTGAGGTGAATCCAATGACAGAAAAATAAGATAAAACGGAGTTACGATGAAGAATATACAAGCATGTGAACTAGTGACATTGAAACTAAAATTCTGGGTCTTCTGTTCATGCATGCTACGGCTGTTGGAGAAGATGAGCTTAAATTTTATCCAGTGTTTCTCGGCCCATGGTGCTACGGTGCACCCTAGTACCTTTAGGTTAATCGAGTGGTCCTATGACTTTGGGGATGACCACCCTTAGGTTTTTCGACGTGTAGAATCCATTTTTGGGGTTGGATCTTGCAAATTCTGAGTCTAAGATGATGATCAACAACTAAAAGTTCTAAGAGAATCCAATGGCAGATCAACAGTGAGATCACGTCCGATTGATGTGAAATTTTAACAAGACGATCATGGAGCCAGGACGATCATATCTTACGATCAGAATCATAAATCAAATTCGGACGATAAATCGTTAACAACCTAACATAGTAAGTAAACTCTTATAACCGTCTAATTCTTTTTAATTGTTAAATATTTAGATTTGTGTTCATATGTTAGCATAGCTAAAACTTTAGATAAAATTTTGTTTATAGTTGTAGGTAAATTTGTGATTGGTATATTAAATATTTGAAGGTAATTTCTTTATTAGTGGCCTTAAAATCATGATATAATCTTGGATTTAGACTTGCATGTGTAATTTGTGCCATTAAAGAGATGATTAAAGATTTTATTTGGTTTGATTATATAACTCTTCAATCTGCCAGAAACTTGTACGAATTTTTAGACAATTTTATGCTCAAAATTTTGAAATGATTTATTCTACAAAATTGTTGAGAATGATGTCTAGTTCATCCAGGAATTTTCTTAACAATTATTGAGCTTGGTACGAATTTATACAAATTTATAATTAAATTTGCTACTGTAAGACAGATTTTAGTATACGTTTAAAAGCTTATTAAAAATTCTATATTAAGCCAAATCTGGTAATTTCTAACTAAAATATGAAATTTGAGAAGTCTAATTTCATACTAAATTTTGAGATTGTGGGTTTGATTTATAAATTTAAGTATGGAATTAATTTAAGAAAATGTGATAAATCTGTGTCATAAAATTTCTTAGAATTTTACAGAATTATTTATAACTTATCTTTGGGAATTTATTCCTGAAAATTGACCCAAACATATTTATTGAATATTCTGTACATTTTCACGAATTTTAGAACTGTATAAATAATTTATTTATAATTTTTATTACCTAAGGTATAACCTGAAAATTTCCAGACAGGTTTAAGATCATGACTTTAATTATTTATTCGGATAAAAATCAGTTATTGTGTTGATCCAATTCATCAAATATAGTAAATTAGTAATCCATGTATGGGTGTATTGTGGTTTATTTAATATTGTGGTAGTCTAATCTTGTAAATTAAAGATCCATGCACGTATGTGACTTTGATTTATTTTCTCTGTATCTAAATTATTATTTCATACCATGGTTTAAATAAATTGTTTATTTAAATGCTGTATATTTATTTATTATTGTGTGACATGTGTAATATTTTATGTTGGGAATTTTAATGAGTTGATATAACATCAATTGTGATTAAAATTTGGAATTAATTGTGAGTAATATCAAAATTAACTGAAATGATTAACGGCATATACAAAGTTAACAATTGACGGTTAATACCAGTTGTTCAGAGTGAGTCTGGGTTTTAAAGAGTGTACGAAATTAAGGGTTGACGGTTAATACCGGTTGTTCAGGGTGAGTCCTGATTTTAAAGAGTGTATGAAATCAAGGGATTGACGGTTAATACCGGTTGTTCAGGGTAAGCCCTGGTTTTGAGAATTCTCACGTAAATTGTGTTGCGAAACTCTAAGATGGCACGGGACTTATTTGAACCCTTTTCGGTATTTGGTTTTGGAATAAGGGTGGATGTGCTGATGGCACACAGGGAGGTTACGTACCCCTGGCAGACCGTTCCTTGGGGCAGACCACGGATGCCACTACTTGGGTATATAACTCCGGATGTGGGCATCCCTGGTAGTTACGGTTGGTAACACTTGAATATTTGACCAAGGAAGGGTTTCAAATTAACCGTTGCCATACTTAGTGGTTGGTAAGTTAAATCTCTTTGGTGAGATTTCGAGTATCACCTAATTTATTAAAATTATTTTAATGGTTGTAATTTATGCTTACAATTATATTGTTATCTCATGTTTATAATCCCATTATTTTTCTCTTAAAAAGAATGGTAGGTTGGTTATGTTTTTTTACTGTGTTGCAAAACTCATGGCATATATTTTTGTTGCCCTAGCGTTTTATGCCAAGTCTTGGCGAGAAAATAATTGAAGCTGAAATGGAGTCGACGCTAACGTAGAGCCTTAGCTGACCTGAAACTCCGAGTAGAGCCGAATAAATTATATTATTTTATGTAATAGATATTAAGGACTTTGTAATTTCATTTGATGTTGTATTTGGATAATTTTAAGTTTTTATCTATTGTTATTTGGGCGTTTGGTTATGTACGAGAGTTGGATAACCCTATTAAGATGTCAACTTTTTAGTTTATTATGTCATTTTATTTATTTAATTTCCCTTGATGCTCAAAAAATTTGGGGCGTCACAATCTATACAGTACCCTCTACTCTCTTTCCGTTTATTCTCAATGTGGATTTTTAATTTTTTTAAAATAAAATCTTTAAAATCGTATGTAAATTCCTTTTGTACATTAAATTGAAAACTCATAAAAACTAAATTGTAATATTTAGCTGTTTTCCTTCCTCAACCAACAATGAAGGGTTCAGTAGGTGCTCAATTGTAATAATCTAGGTATTTCTGTTTGTACGATTATTTTCGAGGATTACTTGTGTCCTACTCGTTTATGATTCCTTTTCTAGCTTGAATTGAGCTAGGAAGTGTGAATTTCTCATCTGAGAACGATAATGTATATCTCCAAGGTTTATCTAGAAGATAGCTATTTAGGCTCTTCTCTACGTATTGGAACTGAGCTTTAGGCCTTAAGAGATGGACTTCAATTGACAATCAATCTAAATTTAACTCCACTAACATTAGATATTGATGCCTCATCTATAGTGAAACTCTTATTGGTACAAAAGACCGAGCAAAACCATTTCAATAACATCATTCATAATTGCAGTTACTTTCAGGACCATCTCAAGACGACTCAGGTTGCACACACATTTCACAAAGAGAACAAGTTCCTAACACAAAGGATTCAACACCGACCTGAGTCTCACTAATACTATCAACCTTTCGAGAAGGGAACAAGTGTGCACACTTCCTAGCACACAAAAGATTCAACAGTCCTGAGTCTCCCTAACCCTAAACTCAACAACTCCGTAATGTAATTCTTTTCAAATTTTTGATGATGCTAGGAGAATCAAATATCCCCCAACTATAAACTCCTAATTATTAATGCAATCCTATTTGCCTAACAAAAAATTTAAACAAAAACATAGTGTACTTGTTACACAAAAGACAACCTTTTTCCACAAACGTACCACCCATGCTGCCGATTAATTGTAAAAAAATAATGGTCCACATGGCACGTGGTCCCATGTTGAAATTACCTTCTCCACAAGGACATTACAAGGCCCTTTGGATAGTCCTCCCATACCACCAACATTTATTTTCACGAAAGGCACAAGACAAAAAAAAACTGATAGAAACAAAAATTATCAAATTCATCATCATCATCACGCTATTGTATGCAAATAGTTCTCTGACTCTGAAAACATAAAGTATTGATTCAAAAAATCCTATTGGAAGTAGATCTCTAGATTTAAGGAGGAAAAACAAAACAAAAAAAATTGATTTAAATATATTTATGAAGTAAAGAGCTATTTCCACACATGTAATATGTGTTCTATCAAATAAAAGCAATAGTTTTACTTCAGCCAAGACTTATGTAGCCAATTTGACTCTTATTGACAAACCAATTTTGCAACTTACTACATTTTCTGGATCACAACTGAGTTGGCCAGGCCAGCCTGCTCAATTGACTGGTCTAGATCGGTGAGTTGCTTGGGAGGGAATCCCACTGTCTGCAGCTGATAGGTACTTACCCTGTCAGGCCTCGACGCATCAATGTAGGCACGGATATCTCTGATGGTATGGTGGTAGTTGAAGCGTGAAACCATGCGCGTACCATCTGCTAACCTGAGCTGAACTGAGGTAGACGGTAAAGTGTCGTCCACAACCAAACCGTTTGATGGTGGTGGAGCGGTATTAAGGGAGGTGGGGGCCAAGGCCGGCTCTGTGGATGCAGCGCTGCTGGTGCTGCCTAAAGTTCTTCCCATGCCCTGAAATGAGATATGATGCTTCTCTGGTATCTGCATAAGGAAACACTAATAAGTTGTAAGCGGCTGACAGTGATGATTTGGTTCAGTTTTCAAAACCTGTTATTTGAATTTTTTTGAAATATTAGAAACTAGCTTGACAGAAATAAACACAAAAAAAAATATTTTTTAAATTAAAAAAATTAAATCAGCCACGAAAAAAGAGAACCAAATGAAAATAATGAGTTTTTTTAAAAAAATAAAAATAAATTCACCAACTTTTCAAAAATAGATTCTGAAAACTCAATCAAATAGAGTTACAGGAAGAAATATGGACGCACGGGGTAATTTTCTTCTTTCCTCATCAGACTGACATGAACTGCAGTCTTCCTGTTGGTTGGCTCAAGTTCTTTTGGACACTCGGACTTTCTGATGCTCTGCATAGACATGCAATTAGACAAGGACTCAGCTTCAATGATGATTCCAAAAAAGATCATACCCTTTAATGAAAAGGACTCAGGTTACAGCCAAACTTAGTTCAACTCCAAAATGCAAATAGTCAGTTGTATTGTCAACGGGAATTTACAAGCTGAACAAAATTTTCTTTTCAGAAAAAAAAAAGGGTAATGATGGGATAAATGACCATGAGGACACTACACAAGCAAAACAAAAGGTACAATCCAAGTACATGTAAATTACACCAGAACAACAAAAAAACTGGCTAGATTTCTACATGATCATAAATGTCCCATGATAACATAAAATCCAAAAGTTATCTAGGGTTGTAAATGAATCGAGTTGTTTGGGAATTCAAGTCAGCTTGGTTCAGTAAGGATTTGACTCAACTCAGTTCGTTAAGTAAATAAACGATCTCAAGCCAAAGGTTTAGGCTTGTTCAACAAACGAGCCGAGCTTGAGCTAGAACAGACTCGGCTCATTTATTATTTATTTAAATAATAGAAATAATATATTATTTTATGTTTTAAACAATATAAAATGTGTTATATATGTATATTTAACATAGAATAATATTTAACAAGCCAACCAAACTTGATTAATGAGCCAAACTTTTTCTTTATTATTGAGCAAGAGCATGATTAGTATAAAAGAGCTGAGCCGAGCTCGAGTTGAACTAATTTTTGAGCCAAGCTTGAGCTTGATTTTGAGATTGATAAACAGATGAGCCAAGCTCGAGCCTTGTACAGCTCAACTCAGTTCGTTTGCAAACCTAGAGTCATCGCTGAAGTAGGAGATTCCCCCTAAAAGGCAAAAAGTGCAACTTCAAAGCTAATTACTGAATCCTTCAAGCTTTACCGCAAACAAAGCTGGCATCTCTCAAGGAGCAGAAACCACTTGGCAGTTCTTCCAAACAAGAAATGATGAAGGAAAAGTAAGAAAAAAGATTCAAACGAGAATTGAAAAGCTATTTCAATTCATTTATCCAACAACAGCTAAGCGTTCATTCATCAATACACAAAATACAGCATGCCGGATAATTTTCAATTACTGGATGTCATGCATAATGTTTCTGTACCTCAGCTCCAATTTTAGGAACATTTCACCCTGTACAAAGAGAACTGAATAATCTATTTCATGATAGATATGTAGTTTCATGGACTCATCTCAACACAGAAATACATGTAGCAGATGACCAATTAGTGCAGAACACTAAGTGCAAAATATTTGCATCTTGCAAAAATTGAGACACGTCAATACCATTTGGGATGAGAACTAATCAAATACTACCTCCAAGAATGAAGCATTTTCTGGATCATCCAACCTCCGCAATGGACCATCATCTACTGTGAAACCATTACTCCAGAAAATGATATTGTGTGTGATGGCTTCAGGCTGCTGAGGAGCAGATGACAGAGTCTCCCCTGAAAGTAGCCTGCCTGTTCCAGTAAAGCTTCTTGAGCTTGATGATGGGTGACGGTCATCAAGAGATCTTTCTACAGCTCCTGCTTGTCTAGCATGAGTGAAAATTGCATCCACATCATTGACTTTGGATGGATCTTGGACAAGCATTCCACTGTAAATATGGTCATTAGCTGAATCTTAGATGTTAGGAATATATAAATCTTGAAAAAAAAAAATGATTCTAGTATTGAAAAGAGCTTTGTTTAGTGTTAACGAGAAATTGTTCAGCTAAAATACACAAATCCAATATTCTGCAAGACATATATTGATCATTTCCAATATGATGATGCAAGCCTTTTCAGCTCAATTCAGCCAAAAGATGTAGTTCAAAGATGTGGTCAAGAATAAATTAATAAGTTCCAACCAAGTTCTTGTGATAAAGCTAACAAGCATAGCCTCAATCAAGTGACACTAAGCACGATATCAGTTGAGTAAGCATTGGGCTTTCTTTGGCAGAGTGGGGGTGGGGTAACGGGGTTTGGGTTTCCATAATTTGATCAGTCAAGATTTATAGTTTCAGCCTCACTGTACAACTTATAAAAGTCAAATCAATTTGTAGAAGTTCATCAAATTTATAGAAATTTATAATAATATGTGTAAAAAAAACTCCAAAAATTCATAAATTTGAGATGAGGTTCTCAAAAATGATATAAGGGTTTTTCCTAAACTCAAGTGACACTATGTTTGGGGGAAACACGAGAATATGCATGCTAATCTAAATCTGGATATGTGGTGATATCAACATCAAGCATGACCCAAAACACGGTAAAACTATGCTTTTCTGAAATATATAAAAAACGTACACCTCCTAAAACACACACATACAGAAGACATTATTAAAGATATGGTCATGAATCATGCCAAGAAAATGAAATGGATTCATGTAACTGGCCCAAATCATTAAAGTGTGATAATGATCTGTAGAGTTGGTTAGAAAGAGTTAATTGGTAGTAGAGTTACATTGTAGTCATCTTATATACAATAATTGAAGTGTGATAGAAGCAAAATCTGTCAGAAAAAAATTTGGGAAAAAAAAGAGAAAAAAAAAGGTCCAGTGGGAAAATAAGGAGGAAAGTCACCATCATGATGCTACTCAACATATACTTACGTTTGTGAACATTGTATTTGATTTGAACAACATATGTGGATATCGTATTTGATTTGAACTGATTGATCAAAATTGTCATATCATTTCAACCAAAATCTGCTCATGCATACAATCACACGTCAGTCATCTAGTGATAGCCACTAATAATCACTTCAGACAATGTGTATTCTAACATGTGTGTGTACAGGTATATCTGCGTACTGTGCCTGCATTGGATTAAATCTAAAACAAATAGAGCTAAAAGACTAATACATGCATATACAAGCAACATCTCTTATTTGGTGTGGATACCAAGATGACTAGCAACTGACTAAAGGACCCAGGCCATCATACAGGAGAATTTAAATGCAAGGAATCTTGCCTCATTCACCTATCATAAAACTAAATGTGAGGTTACAACATCATCACCACAATCAAAATCATGTGGGAAATCCACAACCATAGATTTAAAGCTTGGGCCCTTTTTGCTTAAAAGATTACATTTGAGTTCAAAGTTTATCGGCAAGGGAGTCTTCAAAATCCACCAACTTTATCCAAAAACGCCAATCAAATTCAAAGACTTTGAAACAAAAACTTACAAAATCAATCACCAACTTCTCCAGCGTCCATTAAGGCATATCATTAAGAGCTCTAAAGTAATAATTCAGTACCCAAAACGCAGATTGGAGCTTGACTAATAAAGTAGGAGATTTCGTTAGAACAAAAAAGGTTTCAATAGAATTTGTCTAACATAAATCTCTAACATTTTGATGAGTGGTGTTGTTTTTTTTTTTTTTTTTTAATATATCTATCTATCTATCTATCTATCTATATCTATACAAGGGCCAATTGGTGTGTTTGTCTCTTTTTTTTTTTGCTCTCCCAAAGTACCCCTATAGCAATTAGGTGGGTAGTTATGCCCTAAATTCAGTTTTTTTTTCCCCCCAAATCTCTCAATTTCAGACTTCAGATTTTGAATTCAATCATACAATTTATAATCTTATTTTTCCGAAACAAAATGATCATATGCGCATGCATCATGTGTGCCACCACTTCTAGTTAGAATAAAAATTTTCAGCAGTATTTCTAAACCCAGTGAGTAAATCAGATTTTCAAAGCAGTCATTAAACGTGATTAGGAACTATTTATTTAAGAATACCGAATGTACAGTAAAAGTGAAGATCATCCCAAACTGCAACGCATAAACATAGTTTAGCAACCACGTGCACCTCTCTTCTTCTATCATATTCCACCAAGCTTTTGCAACTTACATAGAATGTTAAACTATCCCATTGACTGATAATCAAACTCAATTGACATAAAATGAAGCCATGATCATTAGACCAACCTCGAAAACACACACATTCTACAAATCAAAGAAAATGAATACATACATATGAAACAGACTTAAATCAAAACTTTGAATTTCAAACAAAATTTCATAATATCAGCAACTTCAGAACTATTAAATAAAATCCAGCCAGTCCATTGTAATTACAAGTTTCCAAATACCCAAATGTCCAAGAATCAAGATTTCAAACTCCTCAACACAAATCGAGAGTCCGAACTGTAGCGAGGTCCCCCCCCCCCCCCCCCCCGGGGGGGGGGGGGGGGGGGGGGAGTGCCTCTTCTCACCACCAGGGTAGTACTCCTGGGTGGGGCTAATCAGAGTCCTCAGTTTCCAAACAAAGAAATGTAATCAAGATCTCAGTCTCCTCATTTTCTTCAATTTTCTACTGAACCAAACAGAAAGCGAAGGAGAGAGAGAGAGAGTAGCTCTTCTCACCACCAGTGTAGTACTACTAAGGCTAATCAGAGTCCTCAGTTTCCCAATAAAGAAATGTCTAAGAATCAAGATCTCAAGCTCCTCATTTTCTACTGAACCAAACAGAAAGCGCAGGGGAGAAGAAGAAAAAAAAGTACCTCTTTTCGCCGCCAGTGTAGTACTCCTGAGGCTCGTAATCAGAGTCACTACCAGAGCCATCCGAAGACTGGCGATTCAGATCGGAGAACGTCCGAATTCCTCCAGAACGACTCCCCGAGGGCTTCTTGTTGGGCTGCCGCGATCGGAGACTGTAGCGGTTGGGCTGCTGCGAGCGGAGCGAAGGCGGCGGAGACGGCGATCGGGAGCGAGACACAGAGGGGGACGGAGGGAGGATGGGGAGGTCGGCGGCGGCGGCGGCGGCTGTGCCGGTGGCGGAGGGTTCGAGGAAGGTGCAGAGGGCGGAGTCGAGAGAGAAGTTGTGGCTTTCGAGGAAGAAAAGGGCTTCGTCTCGGGAAGTAGAAGTGATTTCACAGAATGTGTTGATGAGATCGGTGTGGGGGTTGTTGTTGTTGTTGAGATTCTTTTCTTCTTCTTCTCCTCCTGCTTGGCTTTCTTCCATTGCTTGCTTTCGGAGCGAGCGAGCTAGGCAATGGGGGAGGGAGGAAATTGATTATTTGGGGGAATGGGTTAGGACTGATGAAAATCATCAACTATTTACGTAATATATAATATTAAATAATACAAATTAATTTTGATAGTTGCTATTAACACTTTATCAATTATTTTAAATTTTTTATTTTTTTATTACAATAATAATCTCAAGTTAAATTATTAAAAAATACGTTAATAATTTTAGGATATCCTATCTCACAATCCACTACATCATGAGTTAAAAGACTTATGAGAGCACTCATTTCTATCATCACACATCTATCTTCTTCAAATTCTACCTTCAAAACCTATCCACCCTCAAAATCTTAAAAACCCTTTGGCGGTAATATTTTGGGGGTAACGGTAGTAAGCATTTGTTTACGTACACTTCTTTGGCAATAACAATGAATGAAAGTTTTTTTTGACAACTACAACTCCATAAGACGAGAGAAGTACAACATTAAAAGTTTAGAAGAAATTCATAACTTCGATAATATTTTTAGCTCAGAGAAAATTGGCCTCGTAAGGTAAGTTTCTTGACAACAAAAAAAAAAATTTGTTTGTCATTTTTTCAGGACTAAACTCCCAAATATAAGATTGAAATTTGGGAACATAGGTCCGAACATTATTTATTTGCTTAGGAATAAATAATCGAACATTTCTTATTTATTCAGGTACAGATAACCGAAGCATCCGCAAAACCAGTCAAATAAACGAGGTTGAATCACCCTTGAGTGGTTGACCGGTGGGTGAAATCTTACCCAATTTTATTCATATATAAAGTATACAAGTACAGTGAGGCCATAGATGAATGATAAAAAACCAACCAAGGAAGCATGAAGTGGATTGTGTTGTGTGTGAAAAAAGGTAATAGAAAACAAAAAAAAACAAAAAATCAAATGGATTGACAAATCTCGTATGTTGTGTTTGGTTGGTGGATTTGGGGAGGGATTTGGAAAGGGAATGAGAAAAGGTGTGTGAAATTATGTGAAATATAGACATGATATATTCATATTTCACCTACCTTTTTCATTTCCTTTTCCAAATTCCTTCCCAAATCCTCCAACCAAACACAGCAGTAATGAAGTAGAAATTTTTTTTCTTAATTACTATAAATTTTTTCCATTGATTTTGGGAGGTTCTACTTTTGTGAGTTTTGTTAGGATTTTCAAAAAGAGCCTTTTTGGGATGTGAGGGTTGTGGGGTGGGGGGTATGCATTTGAATAGGTGAAATGTTTTTACAATAATAATTTTAGTATTATTTGAAAGGAGAAAAGAAATTTTAAGAGTTTTATAATTTATAAGTGAGAATTCAAAAAAATAGAAGGCTTAAAATAATTGATGGGATACTAATAGCAATACTCTTAATTTTATATAATATGTTTTTATATATATAATTATTAATTTGTAATAAATTTTATATTTTAAATTTTTTGTATATTTATTTTATTTTGATATTTTATTAAAAATTAAAAAAAATATATGTATTAATTGTAGTAGAGTAAAGTGCTTTTCAAAATAAGTTATTAATTTTAAAGTTTAATCCGTAATTAACGAACAGAGCTCTACCAATTGATATAATTTTAATGAGTTTGACGACCTTTGTACGGTCTTAATTGTGAGTACGAAAATGGCATGAGGGGCACCTGAATAACTACAATTACGGCTTCGTTTAATTGCCACAAATGCAACTGTTTTGTCATCTGCTACGAGACCCACCACCGGACGTACCGCATTGACTACTGTTGTCGAAAATTTATTGGTTGATTTTGAGATATTACGTGGCCACATCTCAGAACAATTACAAATTTTTACCACTAATTTCACCTCTGCTACCTACCAATCAAAATATATCCGAGGCCTCGCGTGGCTATGTCCTGGTGCCAACGAATAACTTCTCACTGTTGCTGGTTGCCAATGTATTATGGGTCAGTGGCCTGTTTGGGATTGTCATAAAAAAAGCCACGAAAGCAAAATACAGCACAAAATACCAATAATAGCTAGAGGCAGAAAATACAATGATAAGCAGATTAAATACCTGTACATTCCCATGCGGATCTCTTTCGAGGAGTAGTTGTTCCTGAATTGCTTGGGGTAAAAAATAAAAAAGCTGCTGAGATTGGCTTCTAAGTTTTTTCTTCCAAGTACCAGCCTCATCCACAGTATCATGGGCGAGGATTTCATTAAGCTCTGCAATAAGTTGTTGCACCTGCAGATCACAAACCATGATGAAAAAGTGATTCAGTATATTTAAAGCACAACGAAAGCAATTTAAAATTAACTAGTGTTCCATCCTAAGCGAAGTTTAAAGATAAATGTAGGATAAAAACATAAAGGTTGAAACAATAATTTGAGAGAGTGATAGAGGATTGAGAGAGAGAGAAAGAGCCACAGAATTGTTCAGTGAATATGTATATTACAAAGAGATTTACACTCTCTTTTATAGAGAGGAAAAGTTACATAGGGTGCCAATTAGCACCGAAAGAAGAAAACAATTGGGGAACATTCATTATGACAATTGGGGAACATTCATTATGACTATCACTAATAATAAACTAACATATAGCACACTAACATGATACAATAATAAACTATACAATAATAAACTAACATCCCCCCGCAAATTCAAGGAGGGAAAGCATCAACCAAGTTGAGTTTGGAAACAAGATCATGGAAGCGGCCAGGAGGATGAGCTTTAGTGAAGATATCAGCGGGTTGATCGACTGAAGCAATAGGGAGAAGATGAACAGTACCACAGGTAACATGCTAGCCAATGAAATGACAATCAATCTCAATATGTTTGGTGCGATCATGAAAAACATCATTGTGAGCAATTTGAATGGCACTCTGATTGTCACAATAGAGAGGGGTAGGATCAGAAGAAGAAACACCCATATCAGCAAGGAGCCAGCGAAGCCAGAGAAGTTCCTGAGTAGTATCAGCAAGAGCTCGGTATTCAGCTTCGGTGCTAGAGCGGGCAGTGAGGGATTGTTTTTTGCTACGCCAAGCAAGAAGAGAATCCCCTAAGAAGAAGCAGAAACCCGTGGTAGAGCGTCGATCCGTAGGATCCCCAGCCCAATCAGCATCGGAAAAGGCACGCAGTTCAAGAGAGGAGGAAACAGAGAAGTGAAGGCCATGGAACAGAGTGACTTTGAGGTAGCAAAGGATGCGGAGTAGAGTAGTATAGTGGGGAGTGCGGGGAGCCGACATGTACTGACTGACAATGTGAACAGCATAGGCAATGTCAGGACGAGTGACTGTGAGATAGACAAGACTGCCAACGAGCTGGCGATAAAGAGTAGCATCAGAGAGAAGAGTCCCATCGAGAGGAGTGAGACGAATCTGAGGATCAACCGGTCCTGATAATCTATTATAGGATACATCCATGTCTCCAAGTTTTGTCAAAGAGCCGACTTCTGATGGAAGAGAACCAGTTAGTGCATTGTGATCTAACCAGAGGAATTTTGAAATGGAGGTGAGACTCATAGTTTCAGGGGGTATTGAACCATGGAGATTATTTTGAAAAAGGGCTAATTCCAACAAGCTATGACAATTGCCCAAACTCGGAGGTATGCTTCCATGGATTTTGTTTCCTTCCAAGGCGAGACTAATCAATGAAGTCAAATTACCAAGCGAAGATGGAAGTTCTGTGAATTTTTTGTGGCCTAAGAACAGATATTGCAGATCAATAGATGTATTTAATAATTTTTTTAATGAAACTCAACAAATTTTTAATGCTCTGATGTCCTTAATTATGTCCCCCTCTCAGTTACAATATTTTTGTTTGTGTTTGCAACTGACTAAGTGAGACAATTGTTGAGAATGACATAGTTTGATTGTATTTTTTACTGAAGGAAACAAAAATTAGTCTTGCATGAGATATTCTGTTAGAATCAACTCCAAGCAATGAGTAAGTTTTTAGAAAATGCTTTGGTAGGAAACTAGTTTATTAATTCTTTCCACTAGTAGATACCATGGACTATTTTGATCAGACTAAAATTACATAAAGAATATTTATAACTAAAAAAAAAAAAA